GCCGGGGTGATGTGCTGGGGGCTGCCGAGGCGGTGCCGGCCGCGCTTGCTGCCTTGGAAGCAGCGGCCCAGTGCCCGCAGCGGGGTGGCAGGAGGGCAAGGCGGTTCCTCTTGTCTTCAGCTGTGTCCGCAGGAGTGCGGTATTAATGTTTTCCAAAAGCGTTTTGCTCCAAGTTCTGCGATAGCATTATAGTTAAAGGCTGAGCCGTTTCAGTCTTAGAACTCGGAGGCAAATCCGGTGCAAAGCTGCTTATTCATGTCTTTTAATGACGCAACGGTTTTTTTAGCTTTGTTTCTCAAATATAGAACATAGAGATAGGACAGTTCAATTGCCCTAGTGATCCTTCCATCCTTTGTGCTACCCCATAAATGTCTGATGAGGTCGTAAGCACTGTTTGACAGTTTCGGAACTACAGCATTGAACTTTAGCAAGCCATACACGTGCACAGACTGAAAACTTGAGATAGTAGCAAAACAATCTCACAAAAAATCACAATGTCTTAAGATTTGTAGTGAATATCTGCGCTCACAAATGGAAGACCAAAGAAGAGGTGAAGACTAGAGAGTCACTATATTCACAAACTGTTGTTCAGTGCAGCTGAAGCTTGGCTGCACGTATTTTTCCTTTTAAATCCTTCACTTTAACCAATTACGATTCTATAGAGTAATTTCCTGTGTGAAGTTTAAGACTTAAACAGCTGTCCAAGGTAATTAACCCTGAGGCACTATAATTTTATACATAAGCATTTCTGTGAATGTTTCTGATTCCAGTCTTGTATAATGGTTTACATAAAAATGCCAACTGTCTCTTACGTTATGAGCACCAGCCTTTTTTTTTGACAAACATAACATTCTACCTTTTAGTCTAAAAAGTATGTGTGCATCGGATCTGACTTGGAGGAGTGGCACTAAAGTGTAATTTTAGGACAGTCTGGGCTTGCAAATAAGAAAAAGTATAGGTAGCCACTGAAGACAGATGGCAATTTCACTACTCTTTATTTTTTATTATGGTGTTGGTTGTAACTGAGTATTTGTATGGATGACCAAGTTTTCTCTTCCTTCTTAAGCTTCAGAAGGAAAGATTCTGGTTTCCTCTCTGTTTTTAAAAAATGTTAACACTGGTTTTCAGGAAGGTTCACAATTTCATTTAAAAGTATTTTCTTAAATAAGATAACAGTCCTTCATTTATGTGGATCTTGTTGCTTTTTCTGTGTATCCTGTAACTTTTTAACTGTCATGTTAGCAGATTTTTAGTGAAAAAGGATTTGTATACATGTATACGTGTATATATATGTATGAAAAAATTGTATAGATATGCATTCATAGCAAGCACATTTAAGGCAGATTTCTAAAATATTTTCTTCTAAAACATTTGAATTTTTTAACAGGTCTTTGAATCCAAATGTGAGAACTGACATCTGTATAATCTGATTTTCTTATATTATTTAATGCAGGTTCCTGCTATTCAGCAGAAAAGAACTGTAGCATTTCTAAACCAGTTTGTGGTTCACACAGTGCAGTTTCTCAACCGCTTTTCTACTGTTTGTGAAGAGGTATGTTTATTATTTTCCTAGCTGTCAATTTATAGAAAGAAAAAAATCTTAGAAATGAGAACCATTCACTTCAATATTTTTGACACAGTAATACTGGTAGCTTAAACCAAAAAATTTAGTCTGCTTTCTGTTCAAGGTTTTTCTTGAGTAAGTGCTTAAGACTTTCTTTCCCCAAGATATCCACATGAACTGCTGGTTATACCACATTTAATCCCATTTCCTTAAACTTTTGCGTTTGGCACAGTCTTTGAACTTTTTGATACATGGAATTTGTTCTGAGCAGCTCCATCTGTGAGTATCATCTTGTTTTGGAAGAAGGATGCCATATTCCTATGGTGCTGAATCCATTTTGACAGTCAGTATCCCTCTCATCTGTGTCCTAGGATATTGCATCAAAACTTGCTTTCAGATTTTACCACCTTTAATTTGAAAGGGTGATACACTAAGCTCTGAATGTATATAATTTTGATGTGGAAAAGACATTCTTGGCAAGTGATTAGTATGGAACGTGAAGCAGTTAATTTTAGCATCTTGTGAAAAAGAGAAAAATGAAAATATTTAGTACTAACAAGTGTTTATGATGACTTTAGTGTCAATGGAAACATACCAGACTGACAGGACTAGAATTGTCCACTGAGCAGGACAAGCATGTTTCCTCCCTTGTAGAAAGGGTGTTCTCTAATGTGGCTTTGAGCTTAACCTTTTTGTCATTAGTGGTTTTTTTGTAACTGTTCACTAGTTTATTCAACAAAGACTACTATATAGCCCTAAACAGCAGGGCTAGGGCAGCAGTCAAATCCAATTAGACTAAGCCATGTAATCTGAGAAATTCTGTTATTTGTTAGTAAAGTTTAGATCCAGACCCATGACAAGTATAAAATTTGGCTACCACATCAACATATGGAGCTTCAGAGGAAAAAAAGTAATTGTTTTCTACATTTTTAAACTTATTGTAACTTGATACGTGGGACAGTGTAACTGCTTGGTGATGCTGTTGTCAGTTGTCCAAAACTGAGTTGTCACATGATCTGAATATTACCTCCTACATAGGCACTATGGAAATCAGAACACATATATTTAAAGCCATCTTGGGCACGCAGCAATGATGTGAAGTCTAGTTAATAAAACAATTATTAGTTAACCTAAACATGTTGTTACCCAGGAGACTTTATAAACTCCTTGAAATAATATTTGTATTTATGAAGCACAGAAGTGTTTTTAATATGAAAGGTCCGAGTCTAAATCAACAGAAGCCAAGAAATTAAAAATTAGGGCTGACACCATCCTTAACTCTAAATTTCTTGGCTCTTGTCTAGTCAAACTGACCCGTAAAGTTGTACAAGTGTCTTTTGTGCATCTTTCATCCTCTTTCCCCAGCTACACGTAGGGCACATAGTTCCTTTCAGTAGGAACTAACTCCTCTTCATGAACAAAGAACCATCTGTAAACAAGTCAGTGCACTATCCAAAAAGACTAACTCCTGTCAGTTTCTCTTTACTTTTTCTAGCATATTGGCAGAACTGCCATTTTCTTAGGGTGTTAAAGTTCTGCTTCAGAGCCAGGCAGAAACCTGCCAACGTGCCAGAAAGCTGTCAGAGTGGTACATATCTGCCAGCCAGCGTGCTAGCCAACTTCACTTGGACAGGTCTGGTGGAGTATGGTAGTGATTAGTTAAGAGTGACAGTTCTTACAGAATACTTTAGAAAAACTTAAGTTGTATTTTTTTTTTTTTAAAAAAAAAGGTGTCAAAATTTGATTGAGTTGCACCTGGAGCATGTAAAGCTTCTGGTTAGTTCTGGTTCACTGTGCATTTTGACTATATAGGACTTTCAATCACCTGCTGTATTCTTTATCAGATTTTTCTGCTTTGTATTTGCTCAGTTACATACACACACATCACATCTTTTCATCTTCCACATTTGGAAAAAGCTCTGAAGAAAGATGTTTTGGTAACTGTGAGAGTACAGTATGTCTACCATTATTCTCCAGTTGCTCAAAGTAATACCCTATTTACTTTGGCTTTCTTTCGTACATAGTCTCTCTCCATTTCTGTCAGTCATTATTTGGGAAAACTAACTGCCTAGTAAAATTATTTAAAATTTGAACCACTGTAGCTATGGTACTAAAAAGGGATGTCACCGCTTCATTTATTTCATAATGTCATCTCATTTACACTCTATTCTTTCTTCAGCAGGTAGAAGACAAAAGTGATTTTGTTTAGCTAGATGTGAGCTGTTTTATATGTACAAGTGGCCTAGGGGAGTGTTTTCACATCCAAATTGTTTTCTATTCTAGAAATTGTCAGCGCTCTCTCTCCGTATCCAACAAATTGAAACAACACTCAATATTTTGGATGCAAAGGTTTGTATGTGTACAGACTATCTTCTAACAGTGACAGCCTCCTAGGTTACATGAACTAGATTCCTTTTTATAGTCTGAATTGAGCAAGTAAGTTTTCGTAATGATTTGAAGGAGCTAATACAAAATGCTTACATGGCAAATTCTCTCTTCGCATCCCTTGCCACTTATCTTGTGTAACATTTGAACATGTAGTTGATATGGAAGAAAGGACCCAACAGCATATAGTGGAAATGTTGGTTTTGTCTCTGTTAAGTATATTGAACCGGAAAGGAGCACTTGGATCTCGGAAGGGCAACTGAACTACATGGCAGCTTACTTGTGTTTATTCTATCGCAATGTTTGTTTTTAAGAAAATGGAAGGAAGTTTTCCAATACTAAAATATGCAACTTGTATTGCAGGGTGGCAGTACGAAATTGCATTTGCCATGCAAACTCCAATAAGAAATTTTTGCCCCCTTTGTAAAGCAAAAGTATCTTTGCAAGTGTTACCGGACTGTAGGAGTTTCAAGTGGTATAAGTAACTAGATAGATGTCTTGTAAACCTTCTGATACTGAAATGTGACCTGAATTGGATCTAAGTTAACACAAATGTGTCTGATGTGTCTTCTTCAGCTAAAATGACAAAAGGATATAATCTATAGACATGTATTATCATTTAATTTGCTAAAAAAAAAAACAAACCAAACAAAACCAGAAAAAAACAACCAAAAAACCACCCCCTGAAAAGTTTTAACCAATTCTTTCAGTAATGGTGCAATCAATTTTGGTTGGCTTTTCTGAGAGCAGTGGTAGAACATTTTGAAACTGTTCATTAAGATCTTTGTGAAAAAATACTGTAGTAGTACAAACAGTGCTTACTAACTCTTAACTTATTTCAAAATATTTAGAAATGATCAGTATTGATAATTTTTGCAGAATTCCTCATAATCATGTCAAATAGAATTTCCTTCAAATAAATATGTGGCATATTTAATATCCACTCTCAGCATTTCCTTAAAAAAGAGTGAAAGATGTAGAAAATTGCAAAATCTGTAACCAGTCACCCATCTCTTAGGTAAGAGAGCTGTTCTTGTCATGATTTCTTTCACCGTAGAGGAAGTAGCAGAGAAGATAGCATGGCTCTTGTGTGGTTGATAAGTGCAGTAGCGAAATGCTGGGAAGGTGTTGAAGCCTTTCCTGCACTGCAGCCCAGTGCTAACAGTGAAAACTCCAATGGAGTATTTTGGGGTTTTTGTGGTAGAAGCCACCTGAACAGAAAAATCTTTTTTTTTTTTTTTTTTTCCTTTCCTTTCTCCCCAGTCAAAATACCAAAATTAGTGATAAAAAGTTATGATTTTACTAATGTGAAACCTACCTGGGGAATATGTGGTAAGCAGCATACTGCAGATTTTATTGTACATGTAGACTTATGATACGCTCGTTGCTTATTTGATGATGTTTTGTACATTCAGTTATCCTCTATTCCTGGCCTAGAAGATGTCAAATTTGAAGTGTCCAGTGCAAATGCGAATAGTGTTACAAATGGTCCTGTGGCACAAGCTACTACGGATCAACAGACAGCTGTGTCGCCTCAATCTGGAGTAAGTAATGAAGCATAACTAATCCTTTGAAGGAATATAGCTCTCCGTGTCAAGTTTTTGTCTCATTTGAAATAGGTGGAAGAAGCAAGTCTATTGGAAGAGAGCAATCAACTGTAAAGATCTAAAACTATGTTTTTCACTAAAGAAACTGTTTTAACGAGTGACTTAAAACAAAAAAGGGTATACCCTTTGTTGAATATGCGGCTTAAATAATTAGAACTAACTCAGATCTAATGGTAAATGCCTCCATCCTCTTCTTCAATCACGCTAAAATATGAACGTGAATTACATCAGGGGACTGGGAAGGTCATGAATGAAGACAACGATTCGAATCACGTAATTCCAACTCTTTTCTCCTTCCTTTAGAATGTGAGTTTACAGCTCAAATTGGACTTTCTAGCATACTTTATTTTAAAGAGGTTGTTACAGTGAATGTTTTCTACATGTGATCATCTATGTACAGAAAATGCCAGCTTATTATAAGTGATTAACATTAAGATCCTATCCTTGCAATTAATTTTTTGTTGGGGGGTGTCTCTGTGTGTGTGTGAGTGAGTGAGTGGTTGGTTTTTTAACCCAAACTTAAATTCTGTGATCACCACTTCACTAAGTGAGGCTTTCTGTATGATTTGTAGATGGAGTTCTTTCCTTAGTTTCCTATTGTTATAGTTTCTTTTCTTGGAATCTCCAATTCCAGTCTCTGCTCATTCTCTTATTTGGTGGAAGTTGCTGTGGAGCTGCAGTAGCTGGAGTACTCTGCTGCCTTTCCCTGCCTCTTAAAGACTGTAACTCTAATTTGCAGCCAGCTACATGGGAGACAGAATAGATAGTTAGCGTTGCATATTTTAGTCATGTTAGAGAATGACTCTCAGTTATTGTGTTTTCTTTACCCTCTCAGATATTATGGTAGGGACAGATAGATATTCCTGAAAGGAGGTTTCCAATGTTACTTTCAAATGGTAGTTTAATAGCAGATATGCACTTTTCTCTTGTCCTTTAAATAGTACTATAGCTTCTTCTAATTTTTTTAAAATTAATTACTCTCAAAGATTCTTTGTTTTCATTATGTTATCCTTTAGGTTAATGGTTTATACTAAAAAGTATAGTTTAAAAGTTATATCATGTGTGTGAAACATTTGTCAGGGAATCAAATATTTTGAGGAAAAAATGCATTGGACGGCTAGGGGAGATATAGAGATATCATCCTTAATATTTTTTTTTTTTAATAAAGGGAGCATTTACATTTAGTTCTGTTTTATTCATTGAATACAACAAACTTAACAGGGCTATTATAGGCTAATTTTTTTTTTTTTCACATATTGTGCAATAACTTAAAATTGTGACTAAAAGTAGAAAGTCACACTTGTAACAGTCAGTAACAAAAGAGCTGGTTTTTGTTTTTTCATACATCTTGGAAATCTCTAATACTATGAGCGTAGATCAGAATAATCTAGATGGAAGAAGCATTGCATGTTGTGCTTAAATTACAAATTTTGTGGATTGAAATCTGTCCATGCGTCTGGTCTGCATACCTAACCATTAAAGTGTTATCTTCTTTGTACAGCAGAACAATATACATGAAGAAGGGTTACAGAAAACGGAGGTAGTAACAGAAAACGTCAGAACTGTGGCCAAGGATCCCAGATATGCCAGATATCTCAAAATGGTACAAGTGGTAAGTCAGTTCTGTTATCATTCTTTGGATACTCCATTATTTTTAGGTGGAACGTCACACACAGCTGTAAGTGAGCATTAAATGTCTGGAGACATATATTGCATCAGTAATCTTTAAGTTTAGATAACATCACATTATTTCTAGCGCATTTTCTCTAATAAATGAGTTGATGTAATATATTCCCTCAGACAGCTTCAGGCAAGATCTTTCTACAGAATTCTGCCAATATACGTGTGAACTGAAGGTGTGAAGATGTGTAAATGCAGAATGATATTAGCTGGAGTCACAGAAGATGCCACTGAAAGTGTAGTAGTTCTGGCAGAACTGATGTCATTCCTTACCTACAGACATGATTACAGTTTGGTTTTGATGTAGGGTACAAAATGCAGCTTTGCTAGTATAGTCCAGAGCAGGAGTATTTGATATTTCTGTAGGGTTCAAAATAGAGATAGAAGAATTCCTTCACTGCTTGGTTCCACTTCAGTTTCCTGTTATTCGTGATGCAGGTTTTGTTTACCTCTTTATCCATGGGCTGTTCTACAGATAAATAGGAAATAAGTGAATGTAATCTAAATATTTACATGTGTGAAAACTAATGAAGGAGTGAAAAGGTGAATGGGAGACTCTTGGTGACATTTTTTAAAGAGCTCTTTTTTTCACGACCACAAAATTAAAAATGGGATTGGAAACAAAGAAAGAAAAAAAATCTTTCTTTATTTTCAAGCTGTTAGTGGAAATTTTCCTCTAAAATATATATTATAATTCTGGAAAATATGACTGTCATAGTATTAGTAAAATGTTGCTCATGTTAAAACTAACTTCATGGTTTCACTCCCTCTTCAGAGCAATTATTACAATTGGTGTGCTTGGTACTTTGGATGATGTTCCAGACATTATTTTTCATTTGAATCACAAATTGGCACTTTAGGGGTAGCTTATTACAAACCATTTGGAAAACCTTGCAGTGGGGTAGTAGCAGAGAGTAGAACGCTATGTTAGTGTATTGATTTAATGCCAGACTTCAAAGTGGATGTGAAAATGCTGGGTAGTCTAATTACTTTGACTTTTTTTTTTTTGTGACTGCTAGAGGAGTGAGATCTCACTTTCCACATTTATCCTTTGTACTGGCAGTTCCTGGTGACTCCTCTGCCAGTTGTAAACAGTGTGGTAGGAAAGTCAAACTAACATACTACAAATTAATGTGTGTTTTTGTATTTGCCAAATGTTTTCTTGTCCAGTCAAGTATTTCAGTTAGTGTCATTTATTTGCCCAAATTAAGTTTCTAGCTGAAGATGTGTTTGAACTGGTCATTTATTTATTGCTCATGATATTTGTAGTATTTAAGAATTAGCACTGTGAAGAGACACTTCTTTTACACTAAAGATAGCTGTTCTGTGAAAGAGTAACAAACTCATTTCGATGGAGTGCAGTTGAGCATACTAAATTCATATTTTTAAAAATATACAACAATAATTTTCCAGTAAACCTTACAAAAGCAATATAATATTTGCTACAGTAATGTTCAGAACACTTCTATTGACAGTGTGAGAGGAGCAGTCTATGATTTCAGATAAACTTAATGTTTAAAGTACAAATACTCTTACTTGATTCTAAACACCAAACATGACTGCATAGATGCCAAGATACTGACTGGCCTGATATAGATTGATCCTTGCTTTAAGGACTGAAATAAAAACCAAACATGGAGACTGCACTAATCTTCAGGAATTGCCAGCACTGATGGTATGTGACCTCTTTCTGCACTATGGAGAACCAAAACCTATTTTGTAACAAGATTGCTACTTGCACTGTGGCTTCTCAGGACCTGCACACTTCCTGAGCTGCAGGACCAGGGTGGGAGTAGGGCTGGGGTACACTGTGGTGAATGTGTAGTGGTTTAGGTTATTTCAAATCTTAACTGGGCAGAGACAAATGCAATGGAAATCTAGTATTGGCTACTGTGTTAGAAAAGTACACCTGTGCCGTTTCAGTTTCCAATCCATTCTTAGAAGTTCGTACACCCAGCTCCCTTTCATTGAGAGCAAATATAAATTCTGCTTTGCCTGATCTGACTCAGTCTGTTTTTCACATGGTTTGAGTTGATGCATAAACACTCTCATCAGTGACTTCTGAGCTGGGGAAAGGAACCCTAAGAGCATTCAAGCAAGGGCAAAAACATTAGATAGTACGAGACAGTGTATAGACACACAATCCCTGGTGTCCAAATCTATACTAGAATAAGGGAATATTTTAAACTGTCATGAAATACTCAAATGCTTTCCCCTTTGTAATGTACACTAGTTGTGACAATTACAAGCTAATATCTCGCAACTATTTTGAGTAACGTTTTTGCCAATATGCCTAATAAATGCTAAAACTATGTACCTGTCTGTATGCTATTCTGGAATCTTCAAGCAAAATCTTGACTGTGATTCTTACTGTGAACCTGCACAAGGAAAACACAGTAAGACAGCTAGCTTAGTTCTCGCTTTGCCAGGTTAGGTGCTGCAACTGTCGCTAGTACCACATGCTTCTCTGGAGCATTAGTCATGGCTGCCCTTTATTTTATTACTATTTTACTTACTTTGGACAACAGGTATTTGTCCTGTGCCAAAAGAATCCTACACTACTTTTCACTTAGTTTGTGAGACCTCTCCTGACTTTCATAGACCACCAGTAGCTTTGCCCCTTCGAAATCAGAAATTGTATCCCCCCCACTTCCCCCCTCCCCCCCCCGCTATCTTGGCATGCAGTGGTCCAGGTGGTGTTTCTGATGGTTTGCAACAGGGGATGGCAAAGCAGCAAGTTGTCTTTGAGCAACTTTAGTGGAAACATAGGGGCAGTTTGTTGGAATGTATCTCCTAAGACGATGTGGGTCAAAGTGTTCTTGGGTGTGCGATCCAAGATGAGGGGATGTTTAGGTGTTGCTGAATAAAATAAAGTGCAGAAGTTGTGGAAGGATTTGCAGTGAAAGGAAGGAATTCTTTTTTTTTAACACATACATAGTTGGCTAAAATCCATTCACAAGTCATAGAAGATTCAAGCTTGACTGTACAAGCACTTGTGTCAGAGGAACCACTTTTAAATTGTGCTTCTGTTCTCATGTCCTGTTTGCCTTTTCTGCATGCTTTTTAAAGACTTTTCCAATTTTTAGCACCGCCTTAAGGTATCCTTCCGGACCTGTGCCAGATGCACTTTCCTGGTTTTCTTCCCTCTTTGGCTATACCTTCAGTGTGTCCGAGTCTTCTTAATCTTTCTAGCACAACTGTTCTCTGCTGTCTTTGTGCTGTTTTGTGCTTTCTTCACATTCTTATCCATACACATAACTTCACCTTCCTGGTTTTGTCTGCATGAATTGCAAATATATCTGTCCATTCCTGATATTCTCCCTGCAACTTTATCTAGATGTTTTGCAAAAAATATAAAGATTAAAAGGGCCTTTGATCTCTGTCACTACTCACTTCTAGGTTCATACTGATGGCAGCTGAGATTATCATTCCGTGCTCTTGTTCAACAAGTGACATGCATAAATTTACATGAAAGTGTAGCCTAAAAGAACCTGTGGAATTTAGTTCACCTGTTTGTGTCCAGTAGTTTCATATTATTCTTCCTCCTACACAGGGTGTTCCTGTAATGGCAATACGAAACAAAATGATTTCTGAAGGGCTAAATCCAGATCTTCTTGAGTAAGTAATCTGTAACTTTCAGTAGGGCTGGAATACAACCATGTGTTTAAAAAACTTGGAAAAAAGTGTGCTTAGAGAAGCTTTTTTCAACTGTATTGTGAGTCTAAATTGTCAGCATTAAAACAGGTTTGGAAGTCTTCTGTGAAAGGCATTTTTAGCATTTTATAGGTCTGAAGAGGGCCATCAGTACCAAAGGAGAAGGGATGCAATCTTAAGTATGAGCTGTCTTTTCAGTATTGTCTAGTCCAAAGCAAGGCCCAGGAAGTACAGAGACTGAAACATAAGTGGGTAGGTACTGCACCCTCCCAAACAGAAAGTTGCAGAACTTTATACCATTCAGATTTGAGAGGAAATGGAAGGGCTTCTTCCAAGCCAAGGAGGGGTGGTGCAGTTCAAGGAAAAGGATATAGCAATGACAAGGTAGCATTTGACAATGTGCGTTTAGCGATGAGGAATTAAATATGTCAGTAACCATTTTCACTGTACTGTTTAGAGTATGAGGTTTTTTCCCAGATATTTTCTTCCAATACTTCAGTAACAAAATGTCATCATTGTAGAGTAATAAGAACAAACTCTATTTTATTTTGCTGGATGCAATGAGGGACAACACAGTTGTTTCCAGATTCCCTCAGTAGATGGAGCATACAACTTGACTTCAACATTGACAGTGTAAATTGAAGTCAGCAGTTCAAAATTGTGACTGTTGATTGAGCTAACCTGATGGGAGGACTACTAAGAATAGATACTTATTTTCAAAGCTACTTGTCTGGCCTTAAGCATGAATTTTAAGCTTACTTTACATTTGACATGTAGTTTAGTTTTACTGTACTATTTCACAGGATTTGTTAAACTGATGAAAATACTAACTTTCATTCTTACATTATAGCCACTGAACTGTTTGAAACACTTTTGCATCCTTTTCAGAAACTGTCAATGTATTAAAAAGTCTGCTTCTCCTTTCCAGTGAAGTTGTCTTACGTTTTGGAAAGGTTTATTCTGAAACTAGCAACTTATTTAATAAAATAAAAAAAAAATATAGGAAAACCGAAGTATTGTCATATGTTGAGTCACTTTATCTCCCAGCTACTTCCGGGTGTCTAAATAAGCCTAAAGTAGTTATTCCTCATTTCTCATTTGATCAGTAAAAATATCAAATAAGAACAACACCACAAGTAAGAACCTGTGCAAGTCTGAGATAGGGTTATCAAACATGGTTTTATTATATGTGTGTTAAAGGTGTTGTATTTCTTAGTCTGCATTTCTGGTTGGTACCCTTCTGTAAATGCTGCTATTTCTTTGTGTTTGGATGGATTTTTATAGTAGATAAAAATAAGATAATAGGTTAAAATTTCAAAAGCTTTTTTAAAAAGTACCTGCTTTTGTATTGTCTGTTTTGGGTTAAGACAGGAACATTATTACTGTGGACTGGGGCTCAGGGAATATGTTTGGGTTTTGGTCTCAAAGTCCATCTTCAAAGATTCTGTGCAACACTAGCATTAGTGTTAGGCAGATTTTCTTTAAAATGTTATTGGTTTCAAAATTGTATAGCAAATCTACCTGGTAAAAGAAAGCTAATTATTTGGCAAGATGCATAATGCCTCTTTGAAGAACTGATGTTATTTGAAATAATTTTTTAATATTTTAAGGAGTCACAGATTACTTTTCTTTTAAACTCCATGTTTTCTTGTCTCAATATCATAGACTTTTTTGTCACATGTATCTTGCCATTCACACCACATTTCTTGGGTCTTCAGGTTCCTTCAGCCTGCTCACTCAGTCCCAGTGAAAATTAGGAAAATGTACATATTGCTGTATGCTCAGCCGCTTACTGCAGACTCTCCCAGCTACTTGCCAGTGACTGAGCGTGGTTTTTCTGTGGCTGCAGAGATGCTAATTCTAATAATACGGAGTTGTTTATATTCTCTTCCTTCGGCTGTTCTACTTCTGTTATTGCTCCTTTCTCAACTTTTTACAGAATTTGAAAACTGCCTATTCTATCAAGCTTCCAGTTTATCTATTTTTAACTTTTGTTTCTTATCCTTCCTCTCTTGCCTGTCTACAATTCCAGGAGAGTTTGTCCTGCCCTCGCGAACTAAAGGAATTCATTGCCATCTTCCTCTCCTTACTAGAGGAGAGTTTTTGCACTGGTCTCTCCAGATCACATGTCTTTGCACGGCTCTTCTGTTTTGTCATTACCATGGCAACAAGGAATAATATTGTGAAGTGGTATTTGCATGAGAAAGCAAACGCTTTCTTAATTTATTTTAGAGGTGTGCAGGGGGGAGGGAGAAGGCTCTCTTACAGTTCTTTAATGCACTTCTCATTTTTGCACCCAAAATGTTTAGAAATGCTTTAAAGGTACCTTTGGGATTTCCAACAGAGAAATTATAATAAACAGAACCAAAGTTGGAAAAGAAATTCTGTGGCATGGCACACAGGGGTAGCCCCAAGATAAATAACAACAGGACGAATAATACGATTGTCAGCTTAGTTTAAAATGTAATATTTTATCAAAGAGAGCAGTTAACTATCATACAGGAAGCTAGTTCCTGTGAAGATCATTCTTCCCCTTCCCCAAGTATAATTGCGTGTATATTTTCTATCTTGGTTTCAGAATTTACCAGGCTGTCTTACTTGCATTGTCAAACTCATTACATACTTAGGAGGGAGACTCCAGGGAGAGCCAGCATCTTCAGCCAGTAGTGTGTGTTAGTCTTTAGATGGCTTGCTTCTCTCCCCTTCATTCCCAGTAGATTCCCTGAGCAAATGTTTTGACATGATGTTAAGATCCATCTTAAATATTCTCTTCAAAACTAAATACAAGAGATCTGATCATTTATAGTCAATAAAAATCCCATGGCTGCTCTTGCATGTCAAATTTAACCCAGTGTTCTAGCCAAATTCCACTCTGAGTAATTCTTTTTTGCTTCTCTAAATTATCCCTGCAGTTTTAGTTGGATACAATATTGTTCATTTCCTGTCTTATTTTTTTCATGTACTATTTACACTGCTTAATGGTGTACAGCATGTTCCTTTCAGCCCTAGAACCTCTGAAGATTGAAAAAAATTGAATTAATCAGTATTGCCTGCGTTCAACTCTTTCTACAAGTGTTTGCAACTTCTTAGTGAGCTGTCATTATTTCCGATAATCTCAAAGGTGTGCATTCAAAGCAATGTCTACAGAGTTTTGATATCCAGTGAGTTACAGTTTCTGGTGTTTATCTTTCAGTTCTAAGTGAAGCAATACCAATAAGGTGTGCGTTTGTAAACCGTAAACAGTTAACGTGTTAAATGTTGTGGATATAAAGTGCATGCAATTGTAGTGAAAGGACATCAGCATTACATGCTAAGTTGCTTGTGTTCTCAGCTGCCTTCTAGGATTTACAACATACAACATTTTTGTTGCCTGCAGGACCCCAGATGCCCCTGTGCCTGCCTGGGGAGATGATGGGAATGCAGAAGACAGTTCTGATAGTGAATCTTCATTTAGTGACTAAAGAGACTGATTTCAGCCTTTGGAAACCTCTGTTAAGTGCTAATGTGTTTGGAGCTTTAGCAGATAACGGTTTTGCACCGGTCACATGGGTGACGTGATTTATCTGACAGCATTTTTAAGGACTAAGATCCTCCATGTTCTCTCCCAGAAAGTTCAAACAGGCAGCATGTTTCAACGTGAACCTTTCCACCGTGAAAATTAGTTGTGAGATCCTTGCAATTTTTATGCTGCAACATTTCAGATTCCTTTCTGATTCTTCTGAAATTACTTTGTAAAACTAAAACTTCCACGCCTTTAAATGTCCAGGTCTCTAAGACTGCATTCTGGTCATCATTGTTTCTTTTCTATGTAACACTTTGAACCTGAGTTGCCTTCTTTCTGTCCCATAACGTACAGGTAAAGTAACTTTTCAAAATGAAATTGTTTAATTGTAATCTGATGAACTGTATTTTTTCCCAATATACTATATTCTGAAGTGATACAACAAGAATTACACAGAAGTCAGCTATCTTATGTTGATTGCAAATTAGTGACACTGTTTTGAAAGAAACTAAAATACAAGTGAAAAAAACATTTAAAACCAATCTGAATCTGTTTTCAAAGTATATACTGCTATTTGATTTCATATTGGAGTCTATACAAAGTTAAAGAAATTCCTGCTCTGTGGAAGAGTTGATTTATCAAATTCAGGTTACAGTGGTGTAGAAAGCTACAACTATTGCAAGATTGGTTTGAAAATGACACTGTGAAAGAAGCAAGTGACTGGGAGATTGTTGATGGAATACTAGATTCTCACTACTTGTTCACTGTCACGTGGGTCAGTAGAAACCACTTTCTGATTGCTGTTGGGCTTATTCAAAAGGAGCTGTGGCTGAGCCGTTTGCATAGGACAAGAAATCACCTCCAAGTTGGTGCTTTTGCTGATAATTTCAGCAAAGAAGCTGAAATTCAGTTTGTATAATGATAAAATTATGTTGCTACCTCTTGAGGTATGCATTGGGGAACAATATAAAGAAATCCACTTGGAGCCCTGAAGACTTCCCTCCGAAGTACTTAATCTATTCCATGAGTCAAAAATGACATTTCATTGAAGAACCAATTATATTAAAGAAGATTGCACATGAAATTCTTCACAATCTATTTGAATTCCCTAGATCATTGTGATTATAACAGAATGCTGTGGGCCAGGCAATCATTCACTTTCTGATATTTCACATTCTTCCTGAGACCAAGAACAGACTAAAACTGAAGCTCTAAGTATATAAATTTGTTAGCTTTTATGACTGAGTCATTATCTTTTCTCTTAGTTACTTACGCCACTTCAGTAGGTTAGCTGCTTTTTTTTCTCTTTAACTTAAGCATGGCTCCCACTTCAGTCTAGCAGACATATTTAAGCTCTTCATAACCTGTAAATCAGAGTAATGCCTGAATCCCTACAAAAGCAGATATGCACTAGAGAATGTCTAGAGATGGCATTTCAATGATGAGTTAATTATTACTGAACACTTAAACAAAAATATTCCATAGTTAACACTTGGTAAAACTTGATAAATATTAACATATTAGCAATAAGTATTTCAAAAGTAAATGTTACAATGTTATTTCAGAAAGCGTATATTAAAGCACTAGTGACTTTTTGAAATCTATATTTGAAAACTCATTGAAGCAATCTGTATAATTAAAGCTATGTTTTGTAAACCAAAGTTGTAGATCTATTTTATTCCTGTATGTTTTTTTTAAACAAGATAATGAAAATTCTTCTGAAGTCTCTGCATTTCATGTTTCTCCAAAACTAGTTACGCTGAAGTTGTATCAATCTGCTAGCTATCTCTAGGGCAATCTCTAGGGGAGAGTTTTGAAAATAAGGGACTGGAGTTTAACCTAAGCCATGTTAGCACTCTGACTAGAGGAGGACTGAGAATCCCATAGCTGCTATTCTAACAAGAAAATTTAAGGAAGACTGAAATTAAGGAGAACTCTATGTTTGATACTCTTGGACTGATACTGACGAATGTAAGGAAGCAACTTGATTTAAAGAGTTGACTTGAGACATAGTAGTTAATTATTTTTTTAAAGAAATAAATAAGGTTACCAAAACACATTTAAGGAGGTATGACTTCCATTGTTTATCATTTTGAAGAAGCTTTTTGTGTAATTTTAGTCTGAAAAACCTAAAATCAGTTGTCTTTTACACCAGTACAGTTGTATTTTTACGTGGAATGAAAAAGAAAGCCTCTAGCCTACTGTCACTTGTTAAAATGAAGGATAACTAATTGGTAATTTCATGTCACAGAATAACAATTTCATTAGTAGGCATCCTGAATGTAATTGCTTAAGGCTTGGGTTTTTTTCAGGGTAGCTGTTTACTTTGGAATAGTGCAGTCTTGGTAGGCTTGCAGAAACATTAAGAAAAAATCTTGCCACTTTGTCTCCTCTCCCACTTGAGTGGTGGTACACTGCACAGTAAAAATCCAAGTGTTTGAATGGTGAGGAACCAGGGAGAAAAAGATAAAACCTTCCCTTTTTACCTTCAGTGCATCAGCAGCCATAACGCTTCGACTGCCTTCGGAACCTCTGACTGCATTAAGCTCCACTATTCCTGCCAGTCTCATCTGCTAAACACATCCCTGTACTCTTAGGTTTTAGCCAAATTCAATCTGAGATGTTTCAGCTTAGGACACATGCTGACACAAGAAGCTATTAAGTATGGGAAGGTTGGTTTGAGACTGAATTATGTCAGCTGTGCTAGTCCTCCTTGATCTACAGCAGTTTTTTAGTGAGATGGTGCTAACCCAGAAAGTTGGAAAGTCCTTAACCGCAAGCTAAATACTATAAGCAGAGAATATTCCAACTTGCTCATTATTTGCCATCTGTTTTGGCATAGAAGATAGAGGGAGTATTTCAACTTGGCTGCATAGTAATCAGATATATGTAGTACTTTCAAGGGAAGAAGTCCATTTTTAAGTGACTTTTCTTTTTAAAAAGCTTCTAACAGCAATGAACTTTTAAAAGATGCAGTATACATTAAGAGGTGTCAGTCATACGCATCTAATATACCCAAATTTTACATGAATTTAAAATCATCACCCGGGGCAATATTACAATTTGTAGGCATGAGAACTACTTCAGCTTGTTGCTGGAATAACTGTTGAATGCATATTAATACTAATTATGTACTATTAGTAAATTATATACTCAATGTTTAAACAACCTTTTTCTTTTTTTACCCCATCACCATCTTCCTCATTTTGCAGGTGAACTGGGGTGCAGAATGTATAAAAGTCTGTTGCTTAAAGTTATTACAGGCATTTTTAATGCATGTAGGTGCCTTAAGACTAGATGCATATCTGTACGTAAGTGAAACCTCAAACAACTGTCAAAGGCAAAAACAACATCTGGACATGATAATAACTTTATACTGAAGTCCTTGTTTAGCCCTCTTAATCATTAATCTGTTCCCTCTCAACTCTCCTGTTCAGCTACATTTGAAAAGAAAATTGATGGTTCTTTTTCCAAGCTGGGTCTCTTCCTCTCTCTTGTTTTTCTTTCCAGTGTGTGTTATTTACACCAGTGAGTAAGTGTATAGTTTGACATTCTGTGAAAAAAAGTCGTCAGAAGCTATAGCCTGTAGTTGGAAAAAGAGAGTATCACTAAGATCAGCACTTTGAGTAGCGTGTGATCAGGTTGATTTTGCTTTCCATGAAGTTACTTAGCAAGAAACTGAAGTTCATCACAGTCTTAAGCTGTGGACTCTGGGAATCAGCTCTGAAAAGCTGATACAAGGTTACAGCGTTACAAAGGATTTGTCTGCAAAACAGAACTTGTGTTTCCTTACTCTTCAGAAATTTTGGCAACCTGTTGTCTGAGCTGACTGCAGGTCGAATGCCTGCACTAGTGCCCAAAGCAGTATTCTCCTGATACTTCACGTGATGGTGTCTCCATTCAGAGAGATGCCCACTTTACGGGCAAGACAGGAGCCGCCACGTTAGCTCAGGCCTGTGGCTCGCTTGGTCTTGCAGTTCTGTCTCTGGTAGAAATACTTTCACGGAAGGTGTGAGGAGTACTGCCATGCTCCAGCAGTCCCTTTTCCTGCCGCCAAGATTTTACTGAAGCTGTGAGCAGAGATTGATGTTCAGTGGTAAATTACAAGTTTGTTAGTGCTTCCAGAAACATTTGCATTAATTCAGGAAGCTCTGGAGATTCCTGCCTTGTGTTTGACTGTCTAACTTCGCTAATACAGTATTGCTTTAAGGGAGTTCCATGGGCTAGTTCATTATGAGGGAAACTCATAAGCAGAAAATTAAAATAACATACCCCATGCCATACAGAAATGAGTGACAGAAACAAGTTTAGCGTAGGATGTGTGTCCACATACTTATACTCATCTTGAGGAAACAAGTTTAAATAGCTATAAATTAAAATGCAGGTCATTGGGTGAGGACAGACGTAGCACAGAACACCCAGTTCAATCTGTTTTTTTTTTTAAAAAAGTTGTTTAAGTCAGTGTCTGGACCTTAAACAAGTGGATTATTTTCTCATTCAGTTATTTCCCATTTTCAGGTAAATGGGCAGAAAGGAAAATTCTGAACAAACGTTCACTTTGCAGACAGTTGATTTTTTTTTGCATCAGACTTCCATAACTGGTACCCTCTGCCTGAAGGAATGAAATGGTAAATGATAGTATTCTCTGATTTAGGTAATACACTTTTTGCTTATCAAGCTCTTGTATGTTGTAGTATATGAGCTTGTGCTTGAAAGCTGTCTACTCCATCTGAGGATACGCTGTTCCTTCTACACTAGAAATCCCTTTTTGTGCTTCATTATCACTTTCCATCCTGGTCTGTGGAATCAGAAGTTGTAGTAAAGTGGATGCTAGGCTGGGGACCAATCTTGTTACTGGAAAGAGCAGGCATCCAAGTGCTGAAAAGGACAGGTCAGAAGAAAGGGATCTGGGAGTAAATTTTTACGTTTATATGAGCAGTTCTTTTTATAGATGATTACCAGCAACTGTTCAGTAAACCTTACCCTTTATGTCACTTGTAGTAGTGAGAACTTGAGTACGCTTGAATTACCCTGCTGTGAGGAACTGACGGTGGAAAAAACTTGTAAGGCCCATTTTAAATGATAACTCTCCTAAGAACTGCAATTATCCTTTTTCCTTTCAGACAAATGAAAGCGCTCAGCTGACTCCACGCTCCCAACAGATTCCATAATCCTTGTGTGATTTCTTGTAGCATAGTTTACACCGTTTTTCAGGGGCG